GCTGAGCTACTGCAAGCAGCCTGGAGAGCAGTGGGGACGTGTCCCTGCCTGAAGAACGGGGTGAGGACTTTCCAGAGGAAGGCCAGAGTTGCTCCAAAGTGGAAAACCAAGACCAAGAGCACCCCAGCGTTGAGCAAACCCAAGGCCAGAACCCCCCAGGAGCCCAAATTGAGCCTCTGGCTGCAGCTCAGCCCCTCAGTGCTGCCAACCTGTCAGCTCCTGGGCAGCAGCACGAGGGCTGGGTGGGGGCTGCCCTGCAGAACCACGGCGAGAGGGTGCCCGTGGAGGAAGAGGAGGACAAGGAGAGCTCAGGCTTGGCCAAGGAGCTGTGGGATGAGCTGCACTTGTCTGGGGGTGCTAAAGGGGAGAGTGGCCTCGAGGATGACTGCCCCCCTGAGCTCGTCAACGAGGTAGAGTCTGGCCACAGGGAGCCACTTCTGGGCAAGGAGGGTGGCTGGGGAGTGGGCTAGAGGAGAGGACATGAGTCCATGGGAGGAGAGTCCCTGAGCTGGGGCTGCTGAAACCACTGGGAAAGGGTGGTTGGCAGGGGCTGAGCTGGGGGTTGCTCCTTGAAGTAAAACCTTTCCTGATGTTTACTCTTTTCTTGGATACTCTCAGATTGTGGGTCACTTAACCGTGAAGGACATCAGCATCGAGAGGATCAGCTTTGATTACTCCAGCTATGGAGATGCCCAGCTCAGCGAGGGGGATTTTGGGCACGTCACTGAAATCTATGACTTCTCCCCCTCCCTGAAAACAGAGAATCTCTTGGAAGTGTTCTCAGATTTCCAGTGAGTACCTCTCTGAGAGCCTGAGCCCAGCACCAGCAATGTTCAGACTGGAATGCACCCCAGAGTCTGCTGAATGTGGAGTTTTAGGTTCACCTTCGTGCCCTCACGCTCTTTCTGTACCTTAAAGGATGCTCTTTGTGCAGTTTATGCATGAGGCATAAACTCAGGGCTCTGTCATACACACAATTACTCCATCCAGGCTCATTCCTCCTGCTCTGGCTTCACTGAGAGTCTTCAGGTGCTTTCTAGGAGCACTTTTGTAGGACCTGACCAAAGTTCAGCCCTGCTGGCGACCAGTGGAGCTGGGTGCAGCTCTGCAGGAGCCTGGGAGCAGTGTCTGCAGGCAGCTCTCCCTGTCCTCCTCCTCCTCTCTGCCTATTCCTGGTGGATTAGATGTAAATTCATCCCCTCTGTGGCTCCTTGGAATTCAGACCTGGGATTTACATTTTAAATCAGTGTCTGTCTGTTGTGTGTGTTTCCTCCTTATGGATTTTTGGGGAGTGAAACCAGCTGAGAACTGACAGATCTAATCTCTGCAGGAAAATCTTTGAACTCCCTGCTCCCAAACTCACATTTTCCACTGATGCTTTGTTACATCTCTTCACCCTGAGCTTTGTAAACCACTTCTCTAAATCACTTGCTCTTTGTTGTAGACATCTGAGCAGTCAGTGGTGGTTTCAAAGCACTATGTAAATATAATGGGCTTGTGCTACAAGATAAGTCTGGGGTGTTGAGGTTGATTTTGGCCAAGGGTTTTTTAAGAGGGGAAGGAGAGTTCTTGGGGGCAGCTGGTGGGGGTACAGTGTGGGTTTGGAAGGGGAGGAGCTGATGTTCTCCTGTCCCTTCTCTTGCCCCTCATGTAAAATGGCTCTAATGCTATGACAAGCACCAGCTCTCTACAGAAAACCACCACAAAAACATCAGCAAGCTGGCTGGTGGGGCTTTTAAAATTTCTTCCTAATGAAAGTTATTCTCCTGTCTTTCCATTCTAGGGCCGGTGGTTTCAAAATCCAGTGGGTGGACGACACGCACGCCCTGGGGATCTTCTCCAGCCTGTCTGCAGGTAGTGGGGCTGGGAGGGAGGGACCCTCTGGGCTCCCTGGGTGCTGCCACTCAGCCCTCTGAGCCCCACGCTGGGCTGAGCTCTTCCCAGAGGTGGTCCCAGCTCATCCTGGCTTCCTCCCTTTGTGTTTCCACCTTGAAAGGCTTCCCGGGCTGGAGCTGCTGGGGGCAGTGTGTGGAAACTCCACTTTGCAAGAGCAGCAGGTTTTGAGTTGGCTTTGGAGGAACCAGGGCACCTCTTGCAGGCACAGGGACTCACGTTGCAGTGCTAGAAGTGAAGCTGGTTTGCCACTTGAGGGTTTTTTTTTTCCCTCTTTTGACCAGAATTGAGTAACCTCCTGGGCCCCTCCGAGGCGGGTGGTGGCACGTGGGTCAGCCACAGAGCCAACCCAGGAGGAGCTGCCAGCCAGCAGCACCTGGAGTCCAAAGGCTGCTTTTTTTCTCCTTTTTCTTGGGATTTGGTTTAACAATGGCAAAGTCTTTTCCATTTTCTTGAGACTCTTCCTGTGTGATGTCACCTGAGGTGACCAGAGTGAGTTTAGCTGTTCAGTACAAGCCTTGAGATAACGACTCAGGTGCTGAAGATCAAATTATTCAGTGTTTTATCATGTACTGGTTTTTTAATTTCCTTTTTTTTTCTTTTAACAATTAAAGCCATCAATATTCAGCTTGCTAATTTCATCTCTCTTTGTCCTTTGAAGCATCTCAGGCCCTGGGGCGACGTTATCCTTCTTTAAAGATCCGACCACTGATCCATGCAACAAAACAGTCTAAAATCAAGGCACTGCAGCGACCAAGTAAGACATTAATTGGGGTTTTTTATAATTATTAGTAGTAGTATTGCTTATTTTACCAGGCTTCTACATCCTGAGTGGTCACTGTGACAAGTTAAATGAGGAATTCTCTATCAAGGCCCAATGTCTCTTTGTTCGTGGGGGGTTTTGTGGCTTTATTGGCAGTGCAGGACAGGGAGATGTGGTGTGGAGGCTTCAGGAAAAGCCTCCAGGGGCATTTTTTTGAACAGTCTTTTCAGCCAACCTGTAGCATAGTTATGTTAAAACCTCCTGCCTGGGTAAGGCTGGTTTCTCCCCCTTGGCACAGGGCAGGGTGGTGACAAATTTGCAAGGCCACGTTTTATTGATTTCAGCTTTTTCTTTATTTTATTGCCTTTTAAAATCATATTGGAATCAGTTATACTTGCCACAGTAAAGAAATGCCATGAATCTTGTAGCAGTAGAGACTTGGCTGAATGTACAACTAGGTGGGTATTTCTACAGTACATTGCAGTGGAAACAAATTTCAGTATTAATGCTTCAAAGGGACACTGTCACAGTCAGAAGTTCCTGAGGTTTTTAAGGCTGCTAGATTTAAATGAAGCATCCAAAAAACTGGATTTAATTTTGCACTC